GCAACGACAGAATTTCTAGCCTTTCGAGTAATATTAAGTAATCCAGAAAGAATTTCCGTGGCTTTCCTTTCCTCTCCTTTCTCCAAAGTCCAAACTGATGTTTAATTAGTACCTATTGTCAAGGAAGCTCAATGAACCTTCATGGAAATGAATATAAGCCCAAAAGGGCCAAAGCACGGCCATCTTTGTAATCAAAACACTCCATTGCGCATACACAGATGGACCTAAAAATGACAAGTTAAACCATTGGCCTCATTTCAGACCCGTACATGCAGTTACACCTATATTTGCACGCAAAATCATGGCCATTGTGCAATAGCAATGAGGCATAGTTTCAGTAAGCAGCTCTGCAGGAGCATGCAAAATTGTATTCCTAGATGCAAACTGTTAGCAGGAACAGAAACAGCATTCTATGTGAATCTGCAACAACAAAACCCTCCAAGCAAATGTGATCAAATAACAAAGCAGCTATACGGACCATAGCTTTGGCAGATTTGATGATCCAATGTAACACCAATCTAGAAAATTAGGCTTCCCTGACTTCTACAAACAACATCAAAATCAGATGGTATTCATACCTTCAAAGCTAGCCCTAAACAATGCATTAACACTGATTAGAAAGGAGATCCAATAGAAATTTTAAGGGAACCAAAGAAAACACATTGACAACAGCAACCTTAATCTTCTTCATATTACCACTATGTTCAAGAATACAAGACATGTTCCTTTAAATGGGTAGTTTCACACTCTTCAAGGGGTCAAATTAAGACCTAAAACTATGTTCAATGTGACATCAATAAACTCTATTCCATTTCCAGCCTGAAATTTAATGTATCCCTTATAAACTAAAGAAACTTTATGATAAGTTAAGGGAAACTTAATGTTTTTCCAACCAGAGAGCCTCTTTTTGAAATTTTCTATAACCAAAGTCAACAGCGATAAGGCTTCGAAATTGGTCCGAAAAGGTAGTACCAAATGATTCACGAGGAATTCACCAAATCTGCAACCCAAAATGTATTTAGTTGGTGTAAAACCATCTGTTGTCTACCTGTTAACAAGATATATGCAACTTCTAGCAGGATTCATGTGGAGGCTACACACAGCCTCAAAGGTCAAAAGAATTATCATAGGATTCTCCAATTATCTCTTCTCTACATTGCAGAAAATTAATGCATCATCTGCATGAAGCATTTCCTCCCTGCGAATTATTGAAATGTAAGAATTTGACCACAAAAGCTCCTCTTCTTTTCGTTTTTTGGATATTCAAGATATCCACTGTTTTCCCTCCGAAACTCAGGGATAGTGAACGAGCACTACCCCATCTATCCATCTCCACTTGAACAAAAGACTTGATTCTTAGCCAAGTTTCAAACTCGTGATGTGTTCCTACCACGCATTCCATGTTCTACTACCTTTGCCATTAAATCAAAGCCTTGAGGCAATTTGACCCTAAAAGGTTGAAGCATATAAAGAATAGTACAAGATAAAGCAAAAGAAGCTAAATATACTTTTTTTGTGAAGAGCAAACTTTTGTTTTGTTTGGTGGGAACTCAACTTGCTTATGTGTATGTAGAAACTATGTTACAAGAATTTCCTTTGACATGTTCGAGTAGAACAAGTATGATTTGGGTATAGGTACTCTGTATGGGTTCTTCAAAATTAGCAAGAAACTGTACATACCTCTACCGGATACTTGCACATTCTCATACCGCATAATTACCCCTAAACAAAATCTATCTAGCATAGCATATAAATATCCAATGAAAAGGTCAATGGTATTATAGGCTTTATATGATAATTTTTATCCAGTAACTAAATGCAATGACGAAAAACTATAAAGTTTGAGCAGTTCATTTATTCAAATTATTCAGTTATCCAACATACCTCCAAAAGTACAAAGAGAACATATGAGGAACTTAATCCCTGGGATCTTTCCTCTATCATGAAGTCTAATAAAACTTCATAAATCAACCATCACGAAAAATAATTAGACATTTTTGGGCTCTTTTCAAGCAACTCTTCACATACATCGTTAACGGGGGACTGCTACCATTCAAATGACCATCCACTTGTGCCACAATATTGTCCATTTCCTTAGAAAACTTCAAACATAACAGAATTAACTTGTATAATACCTATTTTGTATAAATAACAAACTTCTTACCACGTCAGATGTTTTGAAACACTAAAATCAAGTAGCCGAGCAGTAATCCACACATTTTGGAGATATCATTAGGTGCTCATTCCAGCTATCCAGTAATATTATAATCAAGCCACATCATATTCGGATGCTCAATGTTTGGGTGTGATCTCTAGAAACCAATAGCCAAAAGCTACTGCAAAACAATTTCTTAATACAAGCTCATGAAAGGCCAGGAATGTTGACCCATCCTGTTCCCAAGTAATAGTGTTCAATAAGATAAACTAATTAGGTCAAACAATTCAAACACTCTTGAAGTACTAATATCTGTACGGGTGCCAATAGAAGCCCATGAAAAGTAATCTGGTTGGCCCTTAAAAAAAAGACAGATGGAAAGGAAGCATAGGGAGGTAATATACACAAATTATGCCAGAAGAGAACTAGAAGATAACATCAACCTCAAAAAAGCAAGCCATATTACTCAACATCTCAAAGTTTATATTGCGGAGATCCAAGACTGACAGCATGAATGGATATTTTACCAAATGGAAAAAGGGCAGTCCGGTGCACTAAAGCTCCCTCTATGCACGGGGTCGAGGGAAGAACCAGACCACAAGGGTCTATTGTACGCAGCCTTACCCTGCATTTCTGCAAGAGGCTGTTTCCACGGCTCGAACCCGTGACCTCCTGGTCACATGGCAGTAACTTTACTAGTTACGCCAAGGCTCCTCTTCATTTTACCAAATGAAAAGAAAGCATATAAAAAAAACAGAAAACTAATTGTGATATTTATACTATGCAAAGATCTATCATCAGAGCAGCAGCAGAAGTCAGTGCTTCATATTCAATTTATTAATCCGGTCCTGACAGGGTCTAAAGTAAGCAAACAACTAAACTAAATCTCAGTTTCTTCATATCGCTTCTGTGTCCCTAGACTAAACAGCAATGCAGCAAGTTGTTCATGATTACATCTCCAATATATACTCCTACATTTGAAGCAAAGTTAGGCCTTTGGTGGAGACGGTATGTGGGACGATGAAATGCAAAAGCTGATTACTATATATAGTTCAAATAGAAGCAAGCATACATAGCATAGGTGAAGTCGACAAGCAGGGTACCACATCAGCATCCTTAACAACTACAACAAATACAATTAAACAGTCTAACCATTAGCTGCAGAAAGAAAAAAATAGCTACAAGAATACCATTTTAAATCCACCAAATGACAGGGAGAAGATCTATCCTCTTCCGGAGTTTCCTTTTCGAACATCCTAGTATAGTGAAGAAGCATAACAAAACCTAAAGTGATTACCAAAATGAGCAAAGCAGCTTTAATTCCAAAATGGATGACAGAAGACATCAATCAGAAAAACATCAGCTTTGCCTCTCCTCTCTTTCTCGATTCCATTGTTCAATTCTAGCTCTGCGTTCCTCACTCCCTTCCCTAATAGGACTCCTGCTCTGCCTGGGACTCCTACTTCTCCTTCTCGGACCATCACTGTCGTACCTTCTGTGGCTTCTTCTACCACTGCGGTCACGTTCCCGGGAATCACGGTAGTCACGACGGTCAGGCCTGTCATAGTCCCTCCGGTGATGCGGGCTCAGACTCCTACTTCTGCTGCGGCTACCCCGACGTCGATGGTACTTGCCGAAAAGCTTCCTCCTGAGATCCCTGCTAATCATTTTGACATGCATGAAATTACAATAACCTCCACGATTGCAGTCGTTCTCTTCATACTGGCGGCAGGTAGCCTCCCGGAAATCAGTGACAGGGGAGAAATCGACAATAATAGGGCGGCCAGAGTAAAATCGGCCCTGGAGGGCCTGCAAAGCGGCAGCGGCGTGATCCTCCTCTTTAAATTGAACATAAACATTTCCGATCATGTGATCGGCGAGGTTATCGCAGACATTGAGGTTCTCGATCTCACCGAACTTGCTGAGCTCCTCAAAAATATCCTCGTAGAAATCCTCAAAGTGTTCCTGGATCTTAAGGGGATCGAGAGGCTGGCCTTGGGGTTCGACGCCAGGGGTGATCATGTCTGGACGGTGGTACATGTTGGAGAGGAGGAGAGTGGGAGAAACGGTAGGCCTGGTGTGGAGGCGAGAACAACGGTCACCGTGACGGCAAGCACCAATTTTGAAGTAGAAAGGACAATTGACTCTGTCCTTCTCTGTGCCGAAGATGGAAGCCAAGTGCTCCGCCATGATCAATGGAAAGTATGTCGGTGGATTTTGGGGTTATGCTCTTGCCCTTTAAAACCCTATACTTAAATCGATTTTAAACAAAGCACAAACGCAACATGTAAATGACAATTAGTATATATCCTAATCCTAATACATAAACACTTTCTCCGTTTATATTATTTGACAAACTACCAAAACTGTCCATGACTAAAATGTTATCCACATTTAAATGAATTTTCATTTAGTTTCAGTTCAAAAGAGAATGAGGACAAAGCCCAAGATGCTCCAACTTCCAATCCAGTATATATTCATCCAATCGGATTATTACACCTTCTTTCATCATTGATATTTGCTTAAAGGTATAATCCAAATGTTTACACACTTATTCTTAATATATTCTTGCTATTTTTTAATTTCATTTTTACAACGAATACTTTGACTGAACCATTATTATTTACAAACTAATTGAAAGCAATTATATAAATAGCTTTTGTTCATTTTGTTCTATTCATGTTCATTAAACCACATTTGATAAGAACTTTCAGTATGTTCCTTTGTTGGTCTTTTGGGGATACTAATCCTTTACTTATATATGATCAGCATCTAACAAAAGAGGAAACAGAAAAATGAATTACAAATTATAAGGAAAACAGAACTCTTCAATCAAGAGCAAAAGCATGATAAAGCACATTGAGCTACATCCATCGTAACTCTTGCAATCATATAAAACACTCCTCTAAGGCGTCAAGAGTTCTAAAGGATTTGGCTCAAGCCTGCCAAATCAAAGATACATGTATTACAACCATAATGCTTCTTTCAATCGCTTCACTAAATATTCTTAGAAAATTTGTAAAGTGACAATGGACAAGGTTGAGAATTTTGAGATAGAGAAAATTCATTACACAAGAATGTGCATTTTTCTGTTCTGTCAGCTCATCTAGGTAAAGAGGTTGGAGGAAAATAACGCAGTGGGTTCTCCCTCAGCAACTCAGTTTCCCTGCAAACAAGTGACATTGTCAAAATGGGGCCTTCATGCTATTGGAATAAAGAACTACAATGAAACCAAGTTAATGCTTACTTTTTTATGTCTTTATCATCTCCTCGTCTAAGCTGTAAACTAGAAACGTTTCCACCAGCAGATTCCTTCTCATGTGTCCTGTCAGAGATGGAGGAGGGAAGAAAAAGTCAACCCAAGATTCTGTTATTGTGCTAAAATATGAAACTACTACAATTACAACAGCCAAAAACTTTGATGTAAATTTTCAGCTATTGTAACACAGAAATCACGTATTCTAGATACTCAAGCTGAAAAGGACTGTACTCACTTGGCACATTCCTCATCCACGAAGATCTCTAGGCATGCACCGGTGGTAGTAGCTCCTCGATTTCTAAGCCCGTGTCTTTGAGGAACCTGTAAGAAGATGTTTTTGTTAATGAGTTCCTATTACTATCTGCTTGGAATAAAATATCATTGTACATAAAAACTTTCTGGACTCAAATTGACCTTATTAGATGTCCACTTTGAAGGAATTGCCTGATTCTCCTTGTTCCTTTCTGCTCGGGCACCAAGACAGTGCCATGATTTGTTCTCTAGCTTTGGTACTTCTGATTGAAGAGTTGATGACATTCCAGCATTTGTATCTTTGTAAATGGATAGCAGGCTCCCTTGAGCTCTGCAAAATGGATAAGAATGAGCTTGTGCTTTTACTGCACCAAGGCATGTACAAATTAAATATTTCCTGGCTTCCTGCAACCTTGTTATCGGCATCCTTACTCCTTTTCTTAAGGTATGGATTAAGCAGCAATATCACCCCTGAAGTTCGTTTCTAGGTGAATTACATAACCATGGTTATCCACATTGGAAAGAATTTTAGGTACTTAAAGCAAATACTTGTCGAACTCTGAGCTTTTGGCTGACATGGCAGCTGAACCAAGTGATGATAAGAATCAACAACACAAGTTTGGTTGCAGTTTTACTGAGAAATAATGCAGGGGCAAAAGTAACTTGTCCATAAAACAGAGGTGACTTGCTCTTACCTATCCTGTTTCATTTTCTTCCGAGACAAATCAGAAGTTCCTGTTGTTTGGTTTCCTGCAAAGGCAAGAAGAATGTTAGCGAAATAGCCAGCAGACACCCTGAATCTTCAACATAGAATGCACTTACGAGCTTCCCCCCTTGCCAACAGTGTCCCAAAGCTTCTCATTGGAAGCTGGTGTTCTGCTAGCTCCTCCTGAAAATACAAAGTAAGTCACTACTAAAGCAAAACTAAGCAAACAATAAGGGACTTGAGAAGACGATAAGTCCGAAACAGTTGATACCTCTGCTGCTTTGGGGCGTCCCATTGAACGAATGACAAACTTCTTGTAGGATTCCTTCAATTTATCTTCGGGTTTTGCATTCCTAATTCATCGGAGACAAAGCAATTTTAATCATAAACCAGATGAAGGGGGTCAGTAAATAGGAGGCCAGTCAATGGATGAGAACAGGCAGGATACATTACTTAGTATAAGCAGTTTTTTTGTACTAATATTAACTGTATCTTTAGAAATGATTCATGAACATTGTCTCTTGTGGACAACTATATTGATATACACTTTTGAGTTTAAGACCAGAAATTGATAATAGAAAATACTCGTTAATGGGTAAGAATACCCAGGATGGAGCTCGAAAAGGAGCGCGCCATCTTGTTGATGCAACTATTGCCTATGGTATTAACAGCTTTAAAACCAATTGAGTATCCACAAAAATAACCTGCCAAATATATTAGAATCTTCACCAGCTCTAGCATTACTCTGCCGACAATTTTAGTTAGCATCATAACATTTACATCCATCAGAAGTTAAACAAGTAGAGAGATAATGTAAGAAGTCCCCCTCAAGAAGGTAACGTGCGAACAAGAAATAGAGGTCATGAAATGTTCATTTGTATAAAATCATCTACATAAGTTATAAAATATTAGACCAGATTGTGTATTCTCAAGCAAAGTTCAATGAATTGTGGTTGTGGCTATTTTCGATACTGCCATGCCTGTCGTTTCTAGTCTATCTCTTCCTATTTCTATTTCTTTTCTATACATGTAAAGTTTAGAAATCATCATAATAATAATCCAGATATTGCAATAGAAATATCTTGGAGGGAAGCGCCCTCCACTTCTAACCAAGAGGTTGTGAGTTCGAGTCACCCCAAGAGCAAGGTGGGGAGTTCTTGGAGGGAAGGATGCCGAGGGTCTATTGGAAACAACCTCCCTACCCCAGGGTTGGGGTAAGGTCTGCGTACTCACAACCCTCCCCAGACCACACTAGTGGGATTATACTGGGTTGTTGTTGTATATTGCAATAGAAAAGAAATAAGGAAGGTTTGTGATGATTTTTCAGTCTTTTCTATTAGGTAATCTAGTATCCTTATGCATGACGATAATCAATTTGGTCATTGTGGTCGGACTCTATTATGGATTGCTGACCACATTCTCCATAGGACACATCTATATCTTTAATAGTTACTTATCCATCACAGTGACGAGCTAATCAAATCAATTTGTTTTAGCGTTCAGGGTACGGAAATTAGTTGGTCAATGTTAATGCGACAACACAAAATCCTGTGCCGCATCATACTTGCAACTGAACTCACTTTGGAGAAGCTTTAAGACCTTAACCCCCCACCCCGCCAATATGCAATACTAGTATATAATTAAAGCAATCACAACTCTAGTAACCATCATTAGGCTTAACACAACATAAGCTACTTAACCAGCAATATTAGAGTACGACTCAATAACCCATTTGAATAACACATCTCACGTCATAGATACGACGCATAACTTCTCCATAACCAAACCATGTTCCCTTGACTGCCAACTGAAACGCAAATGTCAACTATGCAAGAACATAACGTAATGACTAAAATTAAACTAAGGGCCCAACGGGAACAGAACTTACATGGATAGACCTCGATTGAAGATCTCATTTGCTGTTTTAATTTTATTTTGAGATTCCATGTGCAAAGCATAGGCTATGTAGAATGAAGAATGTGTCTGCCCAATTTTGTTAGCCTCCAAAAAGCTATAGATGACTTCAGCATCCATACAGTTTTCAGCCTGCAACGAGCCATCAGTAAGCAAACTCATATACCAAAATGAAGAGAGATTAAGGTGCAAAAGAATGGATGTGAAGAAAGCAAACGGACATATTCCAGCCACGTTTTCAAGTAACGGAGGTCATCCTTGTATCGTTCATCATGCCAAAAGGTGCGGACACATTGTTCATAAATAACAATAAGTCCAGAACTGTCCCCACCCGGAGGGAAAGACTCTTGCACCCACTTGATACACCTTCACAATTTTAATGAAAAAATTATGTCAGCAACTGAGTCAATACAGAGTTCATAGAAGATGTAAGAGGGTAAACAGTTCAAAAATGTTAAGGTGAAGAAAAGGATAGCTGAAGTGTTTCTGAAAAAACCAATTTTGTTCCAAAAGAAGAGCACTCACTGGAGCCATGGCTGAAGAGGATCTTCACCTTTGTACTGGTCAATTGCTTCGATCAAAGCCCTAATCATCCCCCAACAGAAAGAGTTGAGTTCGTAAATTAATAAAGGAACTTTGAAAATGCAGCAATAACAACTACTACTACTACATCGAAATCAAAATCAAGCAGGATCGGTCGGTATATATGAACTATCAATATCCATTCCGCTCAATTTAGACATACAAATCACTAAACAAATCAAAATAAGAACTGAAAATTCAAATTCAAAGGTAGGGAAGGGGAAAGGGTAGAACCTTCGCTTGTCAAGAAGAGATTTCTTGAGTTGAAAATCAGTATTAGCCTTGAGGGCATTGTTGAGGAGTTGAACATTACGGCCTCTCTTCAAAGGTCTAACATTTTCCTTGAATAGTTCCCACTCGTGACCTGTATCTTGCTTTGACGCTAAGAACTCCGTCTCTGGATCCAATACGCATTCTCCTAGCTTCTCCATTTCTTCTTCTTCTTCTTCTTCTTCTTCTTCTTCTTCTTCTTCTTCTTCTTCTTCTTCTTCTTCTTCTTCTTCTTCTTCTTCTTCTTCTTCTTCTTCCTGTTTCCTTGCGGTGTCTGTGCGAGAGTGGGGGAACAAAAGCCTTCTTTCAAATTTTGAAATTGTCTTGACAATCTGAAAACCCTTTCATAGCCGTTGAATTTAGGGCCGCCCCAACCTTCATTAAATTCATTTTTTTTCTGGTCCTTTAAATTCCACTATAGTACATTTGGTCCCACAATGAATGTAATTATAAGTATTTTGGATTTAGATTTTAGACCATAGCATTTTCACTATAATTATGTATATAGTCCAAACCAATCAATTTAATTTCTTTTTTAGCACAAACAAGCCAATTATCCGATCATTAAATTCATTTTTTTTCTGGTCCTTTAAATTCCACTATAGTACATTTTGGTCCCACAATGAATGTAATTATAAGTATTTTGGATTTAGATTTTAGACCATAGCATTTTCACTTTAATTATGTATATAGTCCAAACCAATCAATTTAATTTTCTTTTTTAGCACAAACAAGCCAATTATCCGATAGTAAATCACTTTGATGGTCACGCAACTAACGAAAACATCATATCAAAGTTATTTTTGCTTCTTTTAGGACAACAAAGTCATATGAATGTGCAAACTCACATGCATTTGGAAAACGGACACCTTAGGATGTTGTTAGCTTAAATCACAAAGTCAACTTATAAAAGTCCTATACAACTAAATCACATAAGTACAACATGTATACAAAATCGCAATTTCTAAACGCGACTTATAAATCATTGTCACACCTCCTCTTCCGCGCCCGCGAGGGTACAAGGGAGTTTTCTCCAATTAAAGTCAGTCGAAACGGGATTTGTTTGTTTGTTTCAGAGTCGCCACCTGGGAATTTTAAGGCGTCCCAAGTCACCGGTTTTAATCCCTGAATCGAGGAGAATATGACTCTGTCTATTTAACAGTCTGCGCACCAGAAATCCGGATAAGGAATTCTGTTAACCCGGGAGAAGGTGTTAGGCATTCCCGAGTTCCGTGGTTCTAGCACGGTCGCTCAACTGTTATATTCGGCTTGATTATTTTGATTTGTAAAATACATTTTTATTGCATGATTTTATTGTTACCGCTTCTATTTATATTTAAAGACCCTTCTTTGAATCGAATCACACGTACGTATATTCGTGTTATAAATTATATTTTTTTTTAAATGCGGAATTGTGTCACGCGCACGTGTACACAATAATATAGATAATATTTTTATTATAATAATTATTTTCG